TGCAGCGCGTGACAATGCATCGCGTGACAATGCAGCGGTGACATCGCAGCACGTGACAATGCAGCACGTGACAACGCAGCACGTGACAATGCAGAGCGTGACAACGCAGCGCGTGACAACGCAGCATGTGACAATGCAGCGTGTGACAACACAGCGCGTGAGCGTGACAGTCTTGCAATACTCCTCAACAAACTATCGTCGACTGACATATCCCGCGTCAGCGATCTTCTTAGAAACGCTAAATGCTCGACGACCCATAATCGTTCAAAATAACGTCGATCTCCGTATCGATTCACGTCAGATGATGAACACACAACGAACCTTATTTAACACCATAACAGATTCATTTCATTTACTTTACGTAATACTCACATGCTTTGCTACTTTTACTCTACTAACCCTACGCCACTTTTTTCAACATTACAGAGCAAGTTCAATGTTTAACTAAAGTAAGATAAGACGTACATACTTTGCTACGTTTACTTTACTAACCCTATATCGCTTCTTCCAACATTACAGAGCAAGTTCAATCATTCACCAACGCAAGACGCTCGTCCCCAGCCTCCCGGACGTGAGGAAGCACCGCCAGCGCCACCTACCTGTTTGGATGCGAGTTTGGCAGCAGGAACTGGAACTCGACGGCGCACAGGTCGTCGCGCACCTGGTGGTGGTGGATGCAGTTGAGGTCGTACGCGATATAGCCGCGGCGCACGTACACCTCTAGCGCGGCCATGCGCACGAGCATGTTGCTGTGGTAGAAGAACGCTGGCAGTACGTCGTAGATAGACGTCTCCGACAATATCAGCTTCTGCAAGGCGAGCACGCAGAAGAGAGAGAGAGAGATGTGAGAGTCGCCGAAAGAGAAGAGGGGGAGGGAGAGAGAGAGATGTGGGAACAGATGAGAGAGAGAGAAACGTGAGAGCAGGTGTGTGAGAGAGAGATGTGAGAGTCGGCAAAAGAGAGGAGGGGGAGAGAGAGAGAGAGTTGTGGGAACAGATGAGAGAGAGAGAGAGAGAGTCCTGAGAGCAGGTGTGTGAGAGAGAGAAAAAAATAGTGATAGAGAGATAGAGATGGTGAGATAGAAAGAAAGATATATATATAGAGAGAGAGAGACAGAGATAGAGAGAGAGAGATGTAAGAGCAGGCAAAGGAGAGGAGGGGGAGGGAGAGAAAGACGTGGAAACAGGCGAGAGAGGCGGGAAAAGAAAGAGAGATGTTGAAACAGGCGAGAGAGAGGAGGGGGAGCGAGAGAGAGAGACGTGAGAGCAGGCGAGAGAGAGGAGGGGGAGCGAGAGAGACATGAGAGCAGGCGAGAGAGAGACGTGAGAGCAGGCGAGAGAGAGACGTGAGAGCAGGCGAGAGAGAGACGTGAGAGCAGGCGAGAGAGAGGAGGGAGGGAGAAAGAGAGAAAGGGAAGGGAGAAAGAGAGA